TCTTGTGAAGCACTCTTGTTTAATGGGAAGAGAATGAGAGTATAGTTGATGCAGAGGAGAGGAATTAGAAAATGCTGAAGAAGCATGAAACATTTGCCATTGGGTGCCAGGCCTTAACTTTTAGTAGCAAAGCTTCCTGAGGGCCAGAGATTAAATGTATTCTTTCAACTGGACACTTGCCTGAAGTTGATAGTACTCAAGGTTTACGTCTGCCTGAGTGTCAGCCAGACAATTGTGCACATAGTTTATCGGGTTTCCAATGTCAAAGCTAGATTCGCTCCTTGGTGCCTTCAAAAAGGTCTTTTGTTTCATCCTGTTCTGCATTTAAGTCAGTGAAACCCTGAAGTAGTATACAATCTAAAGAGAGAATATGGGTAGAGTTTGCAAAATCCTCTCTGCCATCTTCTGCACTCTAGCCACTCAGTTCGAGTTTTTGGAGCTTACCAATGTTACCACAATCTCTTCCTTGATTTTATGCACTTTACTCTTCATGCATTTTTCTCAAGGCGAGAGTCTAGGGAATAAGATTCCCTAACTTCTTTTCCCAGGTTGGAATCCCCACCGGATGGCCCTTACGACCGAACTAAATCATCCAGTAAAATTTCCCTGAAAATAGCAGAAAGCTGCCAGTGCCTCACTTGGCTTTTCTGCCCTTTGCTGATCAGGTGACTAAATGCCTTGCCAAAGACTTCACAAAGAACAAGTGATAACACATTGTGTGAGTGAACATAGCTATTATCCTTCTAAGCCCCCTTGGCTTATGAGGTTCAGTGATTTCTTCTTTGTTCCTGTCCAGACGGAGTGTTAGTTACTGCTGAAATTCTTGTGTGTTCCTTTTTAACTCATATCCCATGCACTGTGTGTGTGTGTTTCTCTAAATGAAGACAGAAGCCCAATACCTAACCAAGTCTACCTTCAAAGCCCCAAATTTATGATTCTTAGCTAGTAGTTTTACAGATTAGTTAGTAAACCTAGGAATGGACTTGCCTTTCTTTTTAATACATCTCAAATATACTGGGTAGCTCCTGCAGGGCTACAATACAGCATGAGATGTTGCTGATCTTGCTAAGTTGTACTCATTTTTTAAAAATAGAACAGAGTTACAATTACATGTATGAAAGAACTGTTTTATAAAGTGCCAAATTAAGTCTCTCTGTTTGGTATGTGTGGGTACATGTGCAGGTGCCATCCACCTTGTTTTGTGAGGCAGGGTGTCTCAATGGCCTGGGTCTCACTGACTAGGCTGGGTTGACTGGTCAGCGATCTCTAGGGATCTGCCTGTCTCTACCTTCCCAGCATTAAGATTACAGATGCATGCTGACACACCCAGGTTTTTAAAAGTGGTTTCCAAGGTTTCAATTCCAATCTTTTCAAGGTGAGCACCTTGTGCTCTTCGCAAGCTCTATATCTTGATTCTTAGTAGTTTTGTTTTTAGGTTTGTTTATAGGCAGGAATCCCATTGTTCTTCCTTTGTTGAACAATACCACTCTCATCCCTCTTTCACACACACCCCTCTTGCACAACTGCACTTGATTGAGACTGAACAGGGCACCCTTGAGATTACCTGGAATTATGCACATTTAAGACAATGAACACGAGCTGTGCCATCTATAAGATCATTAGGCCAGGAAGCCAGCTAGTTGCTAACATTTTCAGCCTCCCTCCCTTCCCCTGTTGTTTCTTCTTTCCCTCCCCACCTAATAGTCCTGAGCAAGGGAAAATGACAAGTGGCCCTCATGAAAAATAATAGCATCAGAAGCCTGCCACACTGCCCAGAATTAAAATTGGGATCAGGTATGATAGAAAATGAAACACAATTAAAATTATAGCACAGATTTTTTTTTCCAAATACAGCATTTCTTTCCATTTCTAATGTAAAAGAATTATGTAGATTGACTGGTTTTTAAATTCCATATTGGAGTAAGGGGAGGTAAGAGAAGAAGAGTGTATATGACTAAAATCTGTAGGCTTTAACTCAATTATGGTTTTTTTTGTTTTTGGTTTTTTGGTTTTTTTTTTTTTTTTTTTTTTTTTGCAAAACTAGGCTTTTGCACTGAAATAAAAACATCTGCCCGGGATTATCCATTTTTCAAAATTAATCTGAACTACATATGACTTTGACCAAGGAATAACATTATGAATTGTAACATGAAAAACAAAAGACCCAAAGATAGATATTGGGGTTCAAGATTCAAGCTGAAGACCAGCAAAGCAAAGCAGCTGGCCACTAGCTCTTACCTCTACACTTCAGACTGAAAGGGGGTGATCCTGTCTCTATGAGCTCTCCACCAAGCCTTAGACTGCTGCCTCTCCTCAAAGTGGTTGGGGACCAAATCTCAGAATGCAGTCTGAGACACTGGACTCCTGTCTTTTACATATACCTCTATTAATCTTTTAAACTGATTCACTGTGGTGTAGCCCTGGGTAGCCTTGAACTCACAGAGATCCATCCTGAATCCTGGGATTAAAGGTGTGCCACCACCACCTAGCTTCTCTAGCTAACTAGTGTGGCTGATTTTGCATTCTAATACTTCAAGCAATCTTTATTAAATATTAAATAATATATCACCACAATGCATGAAGACATTGCTTGGTCCATTCATCACTGGTTTTTGGATGACACTTAGGAACATTCATGAGGTAAAATAATAACAAGCTCAGATTATTATGCCAAGAGGGATGCTGTCGAGCTTTTTCCTCCCACAACATAATGGAAACAAAGCATGGTATAGGTGAGATGTTCTATTTTAAACAAGTTTTCTATTGGTATAGGAAAGCATACAGTATATATGCAGATCCCTTGCAAGTTTGAATTAAAATGCTAGTAATGGGTTAGTCATGCATGGAGATATGTTAGAGGTGGACATCCAAAATTTGGAGCATTCTACTCTCAGTGCTATTACTCTCCAGAATATGATTACAGGAACAAAGCAACAGGGAAACTCTTCTTGGTTAGCTACGTAACAAAGCTATTGGGGTCATTACTAGTGTACTGAGGCCATAAGAGGTCAGGGTTGGGTATGAGATTCTGGGAAATTTCATACTAAACCAAAATGCAAATCAGCTAACACTTGTATTCAAATGGAAACATGACAGTGCAGTGGGGACCAGACTCTGTTCTCACTGGGAACTATTTGAGAAAAGTTAGAAAAACCATAGGTAGTAAAGGGAAGCTGATGCTAAAGGTTAGTATTATCGATGCTGAAAACCTAGTATTGCCTTCTCTCTAAATTATCTTTCAAGGAACCATATTACTCTGAGAATGAGTTAAATCACCATGCCATCACTTTTCCTGGAGGTCTTGAGATTCAAAGGTATATATCATTCAGCCTTTAAGTCTTGAATTATAGACCTGGAACCCCTTGGCCTTTGAAGTCCTTCTGGATTATCAAGTTTATAATTATTTGCATAGCACATACTTTCTTATTCTTGCTCAAACATGGTAGAATTTTTCTCAAGACTAAATGATGTGTGATAATTGAACCATTCTCACACCTAATGAAAGTGTTTTAGAAACTATTCCTTTTAATTTCTAATAATAGTAAATATCAATAAACATAACTCCCATTTTAAAATTAGGGTTCTTTATTATTGAAAGATATAAAATGTTTCTAAAACCGAATAGTGTAAGAAACATAGAGAGGGAGAAAGAGGAAGGAAAGACTGGGGATAAGGGCAAAGAGGGAGAAAGTTGGGGAGAGGAAGGGAGAACAGAGCAGGGTCCTATTATCCCACTCAAGGCTACCCCCAAATGACACAAAATCCTCCTTCGTGGCTCCATTTCTTAAAGATGAAGCTACCTCCTGGTAGTGTCATAAGCTGGTGGCCAAACCTTCAAGCAATATGTGACTATTGTGGGGAGCATTTAAGACTTAAACCATAGCAACCACTGTCAATATGTTGGCAAGTAACAAGATTCTCTTCTGGAGTGGTTTCAGAGTGCTCTAGATTAGACCATCTTAATGAGATTGCAGAAGCATTTTGTCTTCTAAACTGCATAACATCCAGATTACCTCTAAAACTCCAAATAATTGTGCATGAGGGAAGTATTTCCCCTAATTCATGAGTTCAGGCACCCCAAGTCCTTTCACTGAAATATGCATAAACAACAAACAATAATCAAAGAAAATGTTTCTGTGCTTGATAAATTGTTTGAAATGATATTAGAATCTGTGGGTACTATTTTTGAAGTTCTTGAACTCCAATCACAGTTAAAACAAGAATCATAGCCTACCAGAAACATAAGACAATGAAGCAGATTTTGTTGTTTTTGTTTGATTTGTTTTTCTTTGTTTTGTTGAGTTCAATTTGGTCATTTATCTGAGATCTCTTAATTCCATTCTTCAAAAGCAGTTGGCATAGGTTGAGTCTCATAGATTGGTCTAGCATCCACTTAGCATTCCACTAGGCATTTGCTTCATAAGAAACAGAAAGGTGTTTTTATACAAAGCCTCTTGAAACTTGGCTTGGGACATATACGACCATGGATATAGTATCTGCAAGCCTGGAATTTTATCTTTTGTGAACTGTACACTGTGTACTTACAGATCAGCACAGATCTGGAAGCATGCATTTTCATATAAAATAACCTCACTATAAAATATAAGTAAAGACTGGCTGAACACTTGATCAATATGCAAGGCAGCGAAAGAGGTGACACAAGAAGGTGAGATGGGCCACAGTTTCTGTGACTGGAGACTGCAACAAGTAATCATTTGCCAGTTATTACATCATAGTGTCCCCTGTTAGCTGAAAGGAAAGAGGAGATTTTTCTTTCTTTTATACTTGGTTATTGATAAGATAAATTCATAGAGGGCTCTAGGAGCCATCCCTGGTCCTCTTACCCGAAAGAATGGGCTAAATAACTTCCATAGAAAACCCATGACCTAGAAGGAGAAGATTGCCATTTATTATAACATGCATTAAAATCTTCAGCAAAATAATACAAGGCTCACTTATCATGTTCTGTGTTAATCAATAAATCTTTATATTTATGAAAATTAAACATTCTGTCTTTAGGAGAAAGTGGTAAGAGCTAGAATAGCAGCACATAGGAAGGGAAAAGTGATCCATCTTTCAGGAGATACGAAGACTATGAGAATGCATCAATAATAGAACAGCTTGGAGAGGTGGTCTCTTCTCTGACAGTTTGGGGGTAATTAGCTCTGACGACTCATTGCTTCACTGTCTTGCTCTTTTGTTTCTTTCTGGGAAAGGAGAAGTGTTGAGTCTCCTGAGGAGTTTTGTAGGCACCTGACAGCAGCCTGTGGAAGATAGCAGTCCTGGGACCCATAATGGGCAGTCTGTAGTGAATGCTCTCTAGAAGGCGGTGCAAGAAGAGTGGAGAAAATAAGGACTTGAACACTGTTCTTACAAAAACATAAAATAACCAAGGGCCACCAGAGACTCTTCCAGCCTTAGCAGATACTCAAAATTCACATAAGAATTTCTTTTAATAGAAGCATATCATGCCAACAACTTTCCTAAATCTGATCCAAGATGCCAAGCGAAATTCAGAAATAACACCCAAGAGCTAAGAGTGTTGCCAATTAAATTTAAATTGAAGATAAAGTTTATCTGGAGTTGTAATAGTAATTCAAGGGAAAAGAGGGCTCAGTTCTCAAGAGACTGCTCCAGGACATGTGTTCCCGTAGTCCTGCTCTTTGAAAAAATAAATAGCCATGATCTTACAAAAAGGCTATGGTATGAAAAGGATTTAGTATTTCAAAAAGAACCTTAGGCTGTGAATAATCCTAAAATCCTTACCATCCTGTCCTCTTCTTCAAACATGATTGATTTTAAAAAAATATTTACATTTGTCTTTTCCAGAATACACATTGCTTCAAGGAGATAAATCATGTGTGCAACAACACTTTCCCATTGGCAGTAACTGAATGACTAAGGGAATTGAAGCCCTGAATTTTCTGGAACAAGTTTGCTTGGTAAATCCAAACTGGAGTCAAATCAATTATGGGATTAAAAGTCTAGAACACAGTGCAGCCTTATCATTGCAATCAAGCTGCAACAATATTTTGGGTTGACATAAACAAACAGGTCCTCTTAGTCTCAATTTAGTACACTTTGTATCATGTCACACTTCTCTGAGGCCAGGCTCTAAACCTATGTAGGATGGGTAACATAACACCAAGGCTCATCAAATTTAAGAGCCTGCAGTTCTCATGGAATAAAGACAAAGACAAATGAGTCCAAAGTAACCTCCAATTACCATTTGGATACTGATAAGGTTTGGCTAAATTTAGGAAAAGGGTAGAAATCACTGTTTTGATCTACAAAATGAGTTAGATACTGTGGACAATGAAAACGCTGGGATTCTGTATTTCATAGCAAGTTTTCATGGGGGTGGCAGCTTAGGTAATAAGTAGCAAATACTGAAGAATTGGTGTGTCTAAGCTAACAAGCCATCAGGCTGGATATGCCAGCATCTGTGGCTTGGTCCCTCATAAAGGTTGCTTATATTGTTTGAGACAAGATGCTGCTCCAACTTTTAAAGTGAGAATATGGACACCAAACCCACAGAGAAAGGCCACCATCTGGGAGTGGGTTACATTTCCCCCCCCCCATGCTTTGGAGGTCAGAGCTAGCATCACATAAAGATTCACCAATGTTCAGTCCATAAACGGTTTAGTGCCCATTTTCCCTACAGCTCCATCTCCAAGATTGTTGTATTAGATTAGGTTCTATGGGCAAAATACCAGAATGCCAATCCCATGTACCCTCAGCCAGCTTTTATGTTACTAATTGAAGCATTCTCAGGATTTACAAATTGGTGTTGCAAAATAATCTTGCTGAGAGAAGATATAATTAGGTTGTGTGTGTGTGCACATACATGCATGTGTATTCGATTCATTCCTTTGCAACATAAATTTGAAAAAAAAATACAGGTCCAAGAGAAATTAAAAAAATAAGTATGTCACTAGTACAGATGATGCTGAGACTGATAGGATGTGGGTGTGCTCGTCTCCCAGTGTTCTCTTGGCTTGTGGGGAATAATTACTGAGCAGTGAAAATTGGTGGGGAATTTTCATAGGTCTCCATTGCTCCCTTTCGCCTAATCAAAGTCATGAATTAGGTCAATAGTTTTGGATATATGAGAGGAAATTCATGGGAACTGGGCTGCCCCCTTTCACTGCAATGGAGTTGAATTCCTAAACCATCCATTGTTTTGGGGGGTCTCTGGTCTTTCCTTTGGCATTTGTCCCTTCTGTACTCAACTTTCCTTTCTAGGTGGCTTCTCAGTTCAGTTCCTGTTATAAATCCCTGTAACTTCATGGGATTAAATATCAACTTCTGATTTCTGTAACCATAACTTTACTTCTTTTATTGTAAAAATCTAATGAAACAAAAGCTCCAGGTAGTTCCAGCTATTTGAATTATGTCACCCCCAAAAATGGTTTAGTTGTGTATTTGTTAGTCCATTGCCACCCACCTCTAAGGGGTGAGGCATAAATCAATGCTGAAGCCTGGGATATACTACTGTCCATTTGTTTACTTGTTTTATTAGTAATAGAACTTAGAATAGCACTGGGTATTTTAGGACTCCTGGGGATAAAAGATTTGTGGCTTTATAGTGAGGCCATTCCAGGGGCATCGTGATGTACTGACTTTCCACTTTGAGTTATGTCATCAGGACTGCTGAGGAAAGTCCTTTACTTAGTTTGTGTGTTTTCATGCAAAGTTTGTTAGCAAGTGGCTTATTAGTCAGACTTATGTGACCTAAAGAAACCTTGGAGACAACATGACATAAAAACATGGAGACTGCCCCCCAAGACAGCGCCCCTTACCAGCAGGAAGTAGTTTGGAAAGAATGACGCCCAAATTCCCAAATATTGTGTATAAATGTTTGTTTTCATTTAATTGGACTGTTATATAAAATTAAATAAAATTAAAAAAAAACATGGAGACCCTTGGAGGGGACAGAGTGAGCTGGAGTTAAAAGGAGGAGGGGGTGTGTGAAACAATCCAAACACATGCAAAAGATTATACAGGAAAGAAAAAAGGGACAGAGAACGGAATTTGCTCAGAAAATGTAGAAGCTATCACAGAAACTATGTTTTCCATTCTCTGGCCCCAAATAGAGTATCTATTACAACTGAAAGTACTTACTCCAAAAGAAAACAAACCTGTTAGAATGTCATTGCAGGGATGATTAAACTGCTGGACATGGGGATGATGAAGGAGCATCACTCTGATAGGAAGAATCAAGAAAACACATTAGTCAGTTAGTTAGGCCTTAGAGAAAAGGAATTGAAGGGACACTAGCTAGCCTGGGCCTGGCAAACATGGCTCTGGCAGGCCTTGCTCTTCTCCTCCATCCCCTCTGCCTTGCTTAAAAAAAAAAAAAAAAAAAAAACATTAGATTACATTCCTAAAGCTAGCCACCAAGGTCTGTCCCTTTATTTGCTCATTTCCTCCTCCCAAGACTGACTATTAAGGTCTAGTTATCAATGTATTGAAGTTCATCAATCAAAAGCCCCTTTGGGCTCACATAATTAACAAGCCCAATGGAAAACAAACAAACACCCAGCTTTTCCTATGTGTTGTGCCTGTCTCCTCTGTATCCAGAGACAGTCCTTTGTCCCTCTGGAACAAATACCCCTGGCCCTTTCCCTTATTTCCTTCCCTTTGTCCCTCATCCTCTGTCTCTTATTCCCTGCCCTCTGTTCCTCTGGGACAAATAAATCTCCTTTGTGATGAGAACTTGCTCTTGGGGTTCCTGAGCTGATAGTTTTCCTTCAGGAATGTGTCTTTACACATAGGGAAGGGGTGTTCTCCACTGCAAGGTTTGCTTACCTACTCCCAGGCCCCTTTGCAGCAGGGTAAAAGAATTCATTGTGCAAGACCCACTAATTCTCAAGTGCTTTTCCTCTTAATGGGTTCTGATAAAAGCTTCATTTTAAAAATACTTTATTCTTCTAAAAGAACATGTCGAGTCTAAAACTAGGAGGACGGGAATAAGGAAATATTTCTTTAATTTCCATAAAAAGCAAGAAATCTTCCAGGTCAGTCATCTGTCCCTGAAAAGCAAAACTGAGAGAATGTTTTGGTTGGAGAGTTTGTGACTTCCCCTTTCTCCTGGTAGCCAAGGCTGTGGGGGTGACCCCCACTTCAATTATGTTCAATCCTAAGACATTCTAGATTGCTCTAAACTGCTTAATTCCTTAAGACTTACAAACTGGTAACATTTGATGGACTAGTTAGCAGCAATTCTAAACTTGTGGGCCATAATCTCTTTGGAAGTAGCATATCTGATAACCCTGTAGATATTTTCACTATGATTCATAACAGTAGCAAAATTACAGTCATGAATTAGCAATGAAATGATTTTATGGTTGGGTTATCCCAATGTGAAGAGCTGTATTAAAGGGTCATAGCATTAGGAAAGCTAAGAACCATTGAAAGGCTAGCTACACATTTTAATATGCCTACTACCACAAAGATCTTCTGAGGTTGTTATGTTACCAAAATATATCGCTGCTCAAGACAGTTTGTTTAACTCACTTGTCACTGGAGGGCTCATTGAGATGGAGAAAAGAGAAAGCAAAGCGCATCTATGCCCATGCCCTGCAAACAGCAGGCAGTATATTTAGGAATAAATAGTTAATGGTCTGTCTATTGTACGATTCAGCAAATAAGCGTGTATGCCACATCATTTTCTCTTTCTCCTTCATTCTTTACATTTATAAAATTCTTGCACTTAAGGGGAGGTAGGCTTGGTGGTTAAGCAGCTCTTCCAGAGGACCTGGGTTCAATCCCCTGTACTTATGTTAGGCAGCTCAGAACCACCTGAATGTCACCTCCAGGGCATCTGATGCCTTTTCTGGCTCTGCAGGTGCACCCTCCACACCCCATGGCATATACACATACACAGAAACAAAGGAAAGGGAATTGTTTTGGTGAGGTTCCATTAGCCCTATGTATGGTGAGACTTACAAAGGGTGGAGAAGATTTTATATGCAACAAACAGAGTCAAGTCCATATTGTACAGCCACTGTAAGTATCAAACAGAAGTGGTAGGCTTTCCTTTATTATTATGTTGAAAATGAAACAAAAAACAAAGGTTTGAGATCATTCAATTCTTGGCCACAGTTTAAAGGAATAAGAACTTCTTGCTTAAAATAAAATCAATTAATGGTTTTGGGATTAAGTTCTTTTCTGAAAGTACAAAACATTCTAAATAAACCTGGGCAACAGGTTTCAAAGTCTCACAGAAGAATTAACTTTTGTTCAGAAACCCTTGAATCAAAGAGTTTCCTATTTAAAGTTGGCAAAGAGTATTTATTAGAACGACTTTTATCATGATTTTTTTTTAAAAAAAAAAGCATGAGTAAATGTTATTAGTGTTGGAACTTGGACTGCTCAGACACATGTTTTGTCTGTGACCTTTGTGTACCTGAGCCAGCACAGGTACATGGTTTCAGTGCACTTGACTTTTGTCACAGCCCAGAACAAAAGGTTGTAATGTCATAAAAGCAGTCAGAACATTTTCTTCTGAGCCACATTCGATAACAGAAAGACTTGTTAGGTTCTTCCACATTCCTCTTTATATAAGAGAGAGAATTAAAAGTTGCTTAATATCATATATAATTATTTTGTAAAGGTGACTCCATGCTCACATTCTGTCATCTATCACAAGATTAAGAACACTGATGCCTTTGTTGTTTTATTTAATCTTTGTTTTAGTTAGTGTAGAAAATAATGGGTTTCATTATGATGTTTCATACATTCCTAGCATCATATTTGGGCCTGGAGGGTATTTTTTTAAGTTGATGTTTTCATAATGAGAACTTTTTTTTTTTGCTCACAAGCCCTCATGTCCTCAACTCCTTCTAAGTTCTCTCTAGAGTTTTGAAAATAAAGTAAATTCTTTACTGTTGATAGTGAAATACGAGAAAAAAAGTATAAAAACCCAACTAACCAGAATTTAACTAGATTTTATTTTGTTGTATTCTATTGTATTTCTGTTGTAGTGCAGCAAACAAAATTGAATGTATAAGTAAAATTTAAATTGATGAAAGATGACAGAGGATGTCTTGAACTTAGGTCAAAGTGTGTGTCATCTACCATATTTTGTGAATTAGATATCTATCATCTATACAGGAATTTTTATCTGCCTGAGGACAATCAAGACATTTGCTACCACACTCCTTGTACTGTTTTTATGTGGGTGGAAAGATTATGCTAATAGTAACTTAATTTAGTCAGACTTCTTGACTCCAACAGAAGATAAAACAACTATGAAGTTCATTCCCTGGGTGTTCTGTTTACTGTCTTTTCAATCCCAATCCTGTGTCCCAAACAGATAGGAGCTTAAGTCAGATCCCAGCTTACATCTTTGGCTCACCTGTGATTCACAGAATTCTGGAAGGATGGTTTCTCATCACGGTGTGGGATTGTGAAATTTTTTGGCTGTACCTGAGGGAAAAAGCCTGATTCAGTATGTTGGCTATTACACGCTTATCTAAATAATGAAGCTTATCAAACCCTAGTTGTGTCTGACACCGTTCACAAATCTGTTTGCATTTTCCTGCTCCTACTCTCGGAGCAGCCACCACTGCCTTCCACACACTGCTTGCTCCTGGTATAAGGCCTGCTCTCTGAACACTCAGAAGATATCGCTGCACTTCCTTGCTTAATGGTGTCTGTCTTTCCTGATAAACTTGCATCCGAGGAGACAGACTACATTTCTACACTGTTATGTCTGAGAATTAATGAGCAAATGATGCCAATGTGAAGCACATTTGAAAGCATATGCCTTTCTCACAGGCTAAAATCAGCAGAGTGATAACTTCTCCAGTTAGGAAATACCTCATTCTTGAGCTACTTTGATCCTAGCACTCTAGGCTGGCTTCCTTCAGGAGAGAGCACTTTCACTCAGCACCCTTCCACTGAAGATGGATACCTATGACAGAAAAATGGCAATTACAAAAACATGGGTGCAGGTGTTCCCTTGGCCTACTCAATGAGTGACTTGGGACTTAAACTCATGGCATAATAAATTTGCAAATTGTTATGTGTCCAATATCTCTAGGGATTCCTGAAAATAGAAAAACTCAATGCCAGCTCTATCTGAATGGTCTAGCATTTTTAGTCAGATTGTTCTCCAGAATCATTGGCTGAGGGAAGATGGAAGAGAAGAAGATTGGGAGTCAAGGAGCATCAGGGGAAGTGAGAGCAGCAGGCTTCAGTGAGGACCTAGTGGGGAGAAGGGGAGAGAATATTCCTGAAACAGACCTCTTTGCTTTTCCTCAAATTCCACCTGTGGTTGACTCTAAAGAAAGGGTCAGGGAACTTACTACCTCCTGTAGAGTAGTACCACCCACATTCTACAGCCCCTTACTCTGGCTGGTAGTATTTTATGCATAATATGGGGTCTAGAGGCTACACAGAACAAAGCTACTGATGATGGCATTTTTTGTTTCTAAGACAAATTGCTTCTGAATGAATCTACTTACTTTTCTCAAACCTTAACTGCACAGATTCATGGTTATAATTTGATATGTGCACATAGTGTGATGACCAAATCAGAGTCGTTAAATATTTCTCTATCCTTAAATACATTTTTAAAATGTGGAAAAATACGTGCTAGTTTTTCTAGTATGTTGTGTTAATTTTGCTACTTAACACGTTACTCTCCTAATTATTACTTTGTATTTGGAGTTTTCCAGTTCCTTGCCTCCACTGTACATAAAACAATAAGCTGTCATGAAGTGCAGTCATCCCACTGTGCTATAGGCTTATACTTGTAGGACTTCTTACTTCCATTTATCCTTGGTACCCATTATTCAGGCTTACTTTATTCTCTCCCACCCTTCTCGCCCTTTAATGCTCTCTATTGTATATCCTGACTAGCATCTGAAAAATTTACATATGAGAAAATAGGTAATATTTGTCTTCCTGCACCTGACTTATTTCATTTAATTAGCACAGTGACATCAGGCTATATAAGATTTTGTTGCAAATGAGAAGATGCTGTTCTGTATGTTGCTGAATAATATTACATTATGCATGTACCACCTATTCTCATTCCTTCCATCCCTTTCATCTCAAGGTTGGATACATATCTTAGCTACTGTGAACAATATAGTAATCAGCATGTGCCCTTTTAATATGCTGACATGATTTTCTTTGCCTATATAATAGAAGAGAGATGGTTGGGTCACATGGTAGCTCTATTTTGAGGTTTTTATTTTAAGGAACCATCATGCTATATGCTATCCATAATGACTAATTCCAATTCCCACAAATATGCAAACATTCCCTTTTCTTCACGTTTTTGCCAGTATTCATTATTTATGAACTTTTTGGTAATAACTATTTGAATCAGAACAAGATCTGCCTTCACTACTTCCTAGTGAAGTAGAGATCTTTTGATCATCATTTGAATTTCTTCCCCTAAGAAGCAGCTGCTCATATCCTTTGTTCATTTGACATTGGATTTTTATTATTGAAACATTAAGTTCCTTACATATTCTAGACATTAGCCCATTGTAAATGAGTGGTTTGCAATCCACTCATTTTATAGGTGTCTCTTCACTCTGTTTCTTTTGTTCAGATTTTTAGCTTATATGTAGTTATATAATCTTTTAAAGCTTATATGGTTATATAATCTCATGCATTTATATTTGGTTTATTTTCTGTTGTCTTATACCCTCCTCCAAATCACAGCCTATATGGACATCTTAAGTATTTTTCCTGTTTCCTTCTAGTAGGTCTTTAATCTATTTTCTGTTTTCTTTTTATAAGGTAAGAGGGGTCACTTTTTTCTCTTTTTGCTTTGAGTGTCTGGTGTCCTGAGCACTGCTAATAAAGAGGCTGTCTTTTCTCCCAGTTATTCCTTTTGGCTTCTGTGTTGAGAATCCAATGGCTGCAAAAGCATGATATTATATGTGGGTTTTGTGGTGGATCTCTTTACTATGCTGGTAAAGTTCTCTTCCATTCCTAGGGGTCTTTACATCCTCCCCTACTATCTTCACTGAATGAGCTGTTAGGGAAGATGTGGGTGACAGAGAAACTACAGAAACTTAATAGTTTCTTCCCTTGGTAGATGTCATGTAGTGTGAGGCTAGCATTTCAGGCTTTCTTTCTGTCTTCCTGTAGTTTCTCAGCCAGTTCTGATGCAGCATGGAAGAGTTCCTAGGCACTTCTGTGTTAGAAGACTGTTAGTGTAGCATCTGTAGCAAGCAGCGAAGCCATAGCCTCATAGATCTATTCCTGTCATGCCTGTGCTAGGGCAAAGGTCAGGGAAAAGATCTTGGGAACAGGAGCTTCCGACGTGGCAAGTGTTCCAGTTGGCCATAGCCAGCTTAGCCCTGAGGTCGGGGCATTCTAAATGTGATTCCAGGAGTGAACGTGGGAGAAATCCCAGACCAGACCACAGTCAATGCTCACGTTGAACACTGGTCCCTGCTGTGTGGGAAACAGATGGCAACACCCAGAGCAGTGTTTGCCACGAGCTTTAGCCACACACAGATTCACTCCACTCACCTTCACTTATTACTCAGCTCACTTGTCTTCCTTATCCTGTGCCCCTCATCCTTTAACCCTTCGTCTTATAACCTTAACCCTGGCTTTCTCCACTCAAAGGAGAATTAGTGGATATCAGACTTAAAGTGGTCCTTTATCACCTGCACTTAACAGATAGCTCAATCGCCTTAAACCAAGCCAGATCTCTACTCTGACACTGAAAGCCACGTTGCCCTAATCCTAATCCTTAAATTAACCCATGTCCTAATTCTGACCTGGGTTCTCCCCTACAACAGGCCTCTTTTCTGTAGCAATTATGACATGGGCAGCACCGTGACCTTTTTCCTTCCAGATCCCCTGAGAATCTCCTTTTCCCATAACATTTCTCCTTCCCACCATTGCCCACTACAAATTAAAGTTATCCAGGCAGAGGGACACCTCTGTGTGGCTGAAGCTACTGTGGAACTTTTCCCCAGCTCTCTCCTGAGGCTCAGACTGAATTAATGATAGACTCCAATTATGAAATAACTGTAATGGTGAAGATAGTGTGCATGTGCATGTGCGTGTGTGTTTTGTGGAGGTGTTGTGGTGAGATCAGAAGCTTATCTCCTGGAATCGCTGGATGTGTGTGGCTAACAGCAAAACCCAGAGTAGCTCACAGGCAATAGCCCACTGTTTCAGCGACTTCTCTGTATTCTCCATCTCTTGTCCACCTCTCCTGGTTCACTTTTAGCTCCTTGAAATAGAGAAATCTGGGTATACTGTATCGGTAGCTGCTGCTCTCAGAACCCACAGCCTCCTCTGCCAGCTCCAACAGAGCCTTCTTTGTAAAGGGCCCCATCATTACTGCTTCTTAGAGAGCTCCAGTGGAGGCAGGGGAGCGCTGTGTCTGGAAACTTCTTGTCTGTTGCCCCTTTGCCTACCGTTTTCATTTCCGGGAATGTGGAGTATAGCTGCTTGTTCCTGGGCGAGAGATTTTCATGCTCATTCTTTCTGGCCTATGGGGAGAGGGGACAGAGATGGGTAAGATAGATACCCAGGGCAGGTAAAGAGTTAAAACAGGGGAGAGAGGGAAATTTTCCTTCCATAAAAACAAAATGGATAATCTGCTCTGCAGAGAGGCTGCTGAATCTGGGATTTGCTGCCATTTATGGGTTCACAAAGGGATTAATAAGCAGGAGGGAGCGACCCCAGACAAAGTAGTGGTGGCGTTGGGGCTGCTATATACAGTGGTAGAGATGTGAGGATGGCTGGCACAGGGGACGAGGAACAAAATTCCAGCAGGATCTCTGCCTTTTAGCCTGCACACACATGGCAGAAGTGCTGCATTTCCCTATGGGCAGCACATTTCCCCCATTTTTCAAACGAGTTCCACCAAATGGCCTGGGAACTTCTGACATAATGAAAACCTTCCTGTAGGTCTTTGTGCACCATGCATCAAGCCAGAGCTGATCTAGAGCTGGTATATCTCTTGTGAGTCCTCTCCTTTGGGGAAGAAAGGCTGTGCCAACCAGGCAAAGGAAGAGCTAATAGAAGGAGGATGGGATACCCTTCTAGTCACTGTAAAAACTGCTTTCTTTCTGACTTCATCTTTGCAAGATGGGAGAGTCTCAGAACATTTACACCTAGAACAGAGGGCTCTAACATATATGTCTGGCTGAGGTTTCCTTAGGAGATGGATGAGAACTTGAATCTCACGTTACATTTGCAGATTCAACCTAGCTCCTTTTGATGCATGCTGACATCCAAGTAATCTGATGCACCCACAGAAAATATAGGTAAGAAGAACACTGCAATGACAAGCTGGTAACAACTAACAACTTATGCTCTCTCCTTCCAGTTGGCCCATGTATGCCCTGACTTATTCCTGTTGTCCTGGGAGGTGTGGGAGACAGAAGAGGTTGAATATGTCTATCCAGCAGTGTGCAGTAAAGGTGACCTTTGCCACATTAATCTTTGAGTTTCATCCTGACAGATTCATGGCTTTTAGAGTTTGAAGACTGAATATTACTGACAAAAGTTGAATTCTCCTGACAAATGTTTAAACTATGCCTTATCTTTATAGGACATGAGAAAGAACCAACTCACTATTAATTAGCGCTGTGGGTTGGCATGTGAGAGCATGAGTATGAATAGGTAGATTTAATAATTTAACATGCAGTATTTATTGTGGGCACCATATATGGGGTGGTGCCATATGGTGACATAAATAAGAAAAAGCTCTTAGGGAGATATGAAGATAATACAAATTCACTATTCGATGGGTATACCAAGGTAACCAAGATACAGCTGCTCACATCAAGCTGCCCATCATCTACCAATCTGAATCCCATGAGCACAACTGTTGTATTGACTACCTTTCATGGTGCTGAGACAAAATACCTGGCAGAAATGGGTAAGGAAAAGGTTTATTTTGGCTTATAATTTTGGGGATTCCAGTCCATCATGGTGGGGGAACCAGAACAGAGCCTTCTGGCCCATGGCAGCAAGAGAGGATAGTAGCAGCATCATGTTCACATGACAGCGGATCAGGAAGTAGATGGCTCATGCAGAACCAGGGGTATGGATAACTCTCAAAGTCCAGTCCCAAGTGCTCTAACTTTTTAAAGGCCCCACAGCCTTCCCTATAATGTCATAAGCCGCAGATGAAGTTCTGGAAACACAGACTTCTGTGGGAGTCACTTCACAGTCAGACTCTAACAGTGCTGAAGGTGCTATGACAGAAACAACTTCTGGGAGCCCCAGTGAAGCTACTGAGCATTGCTGACTTCATTGGGAGTAATGAACAGAGGAGAGGGTCTGAGAGGAGGAAAATGTCAAGAGATGCGTAGAGTGGCACTTTCTGATGAACAAGCGAAAGGGAAGGCATCCCAGGCCCAGAAAACAGTATGTGATAATGTGGGAGAATAACCTAGCAAATCCCCCTCTGGTGGTTAGAACATCCTGGTTGCCTGGTGGGAGAAGGACTTGGATGAGAAGAGGGACTTGAGAATGAACTCTCTGTGTATGTTCCTTGGTTTTGAGCTGAGTCAACTCTCTGCCATGCCTTCCCAGTCACTTTTGGGGTGACCTGCCCTGTAGCTCAGGCACCTCCATCCATTTTCTGTATCTTTGAGGTCTTGAGACTCATGATATCTCTAAAAACAAAATGCCACCCAAAGCATCAGTGATACCTCTGGGACCTTAGAAAAGAGACAGGGACTACTTCTTGGTGTAGGAATAAAGAAGTTGTTCTTAGAAGGGCCTTTGGTGGTAGGTTTGAGGGTAAGAAGACTTGGATAGAGGGTGGCAACTGTGAGGAAACACGATAATGCAGATTATCTTCTATGTAATGAGTTCCTTCCACATTGAAAGACTTCTGAGTTCCTCATAGAATACTACTAGAATACTTTCATGGGTTGGGATCAGAGTTTGTCACAACCAAGGGCCAAACATATTAGTGAAATCTCCAAGGGGCAGTTAGTAACCACTCTGGTAATGCTTATACAGTTCCAGATCAATAGTGGCTACCATCCTTCAGCATCAAAAGGATAAAAACATTCTCTAGATTCTTAGTCTGTCCTTGTTAACTCATTATTCTTTACAACACAGCTTTTTCCTCCTGTTGCTGTGATAAATAAAATACACTGGCCAAGGTGACTTAAGAGTTTCCTCTGACTCACAGTTCTAAGATGCAGTCAATCATGGCAGAGAAGTCAAGGTGGCAGGGACTGAAGCAGTTGGGTACTGCATTGTCAGTCAAGAAGCAGAGCTCAATGAATGCTCGCATACTGTGCTCAGCTCAGGGTCCCCTCCTCAGGGAATAGTGCCACCCACAATCAGCAGGTCTCACTGTCATTAACATAATGGGCAAAGGCTGGTCTCCAAGGTGATTCTAGATTCTGACCAGTTGACAACATTAGCTATCATGTTTTCTCAGAAAACCCGCTTCCTTCCGACTTTTATCACCTACTTAGGTTAAGCTGGATGTCTACCTTTCTATTCCATTGTAGGCTTGGTAAAACTTTCTTTGCAGTTTATGATTTATTCAAAACAATCTTTTTGTTTCCACCACCAGTTAAGAGTTACTTAACTTCAAGAACTATGCCTTCCATGTTATGTTTCAAGAACCTGTAATGGACACAGGTCCACAATTTAACAAATATTGAATAAACGAGTCATGGTGAGTTATTTGAACTAATAGATGCAAATACAGACATATCCCAAAATATTGCTGTTATAAAAATGTATTACAGAAATCTCACAAGAAGAGCTGCTCTGTTCTTCTTTATTGGGAGGGTGGGATAAGTAGGCTTAGAGTTACAGGAGGCAGCTGCAATCTGCAAATCTGAAGTGGATGTAAATCATTTTGGATTCCATGTTCGAGAGGGCTCCTTTCCTCCAGTCATGCTTTCTTTCCCGGCCATGGAACCAAGGTCTTTTTGACCTGTACCATTTTCACCTTATTTTCTTTCCCTAAGGCTGGCATAGATCCAACAGCAGCAATGGAGAAAAAAAGTGGCCAGGCTTACTGCCAAGCTCCTGGTGATATCATCTCTCCAATGAGAGACTCTGGAACATTAATGTGTCTCTTGTTTTCTAAGCAGCCATCTTCAAGACAGCTCACAGTAGTAGCAGGAAGGCTACAGCAACCTGTAAAAGTCTAGCAGAAGTATAACCAGATGTCAAGCAGTCCCCAGATGTTGAAGACTCCTCATGTTTTACAACTGCAAGATCTTATTTTAGGACAGTATTTTCTGAGGTTGCAGAGAGCTGGCTCATGGCGCAAGATTTTGGATTTCTAAAATTCTTGATAAAGAACTTGAAGTTTATTTCATCCTTCCCATTCTTACACACCCACCCAACATCCCTCCACCCCCCCCACATCTGTTTACATAACAAAACTGAAAATGTAAGTACCAGATGGTAATTTTAAAAATAGACAAGCTTGATTTCAATATAATGATAATTTGCCTATGTCCTTTTTGCCCTTTACCACATCAAGTCCTTTCCCTTGTTATACTCCTGACTTAGCTGACAGACCTTTCTGGTTTTCTCTCTCCGTTAACCCAGTGAAGGCTAAGAGACTTATCTAGTAACTCATCCCACTTAGGGTCAGTGATTGAGATTTTTTTTTTATCTTGTTTTGTTTTTATAAAAGGGTCAAAGACAGATGATTTTTTTCCACTCATGGTAAAAGTAGATCCTCAGAGTCTACTTGAGGGCATGATTATCCCTCTACCTTTAAAGACTGAAAGGTTAGTCAGTTCACTGTTCCAGAAAACCCATAAAATAACTACACCATTCTCCTCTGTCTGAAAATATCAATGATTTCCATCGAAGAATAAGTCCAAAAGTTCCCCCTACTATTCACTAGGAAAACATTATACACAAAAGAGCCAGGCATGTACCATACAGACTTATTAAATACAAGTTCTGTGATCATAATCATTTTACAACAATCATATTCATTATCCTGAAGGTTTTTTCATAGTTGTATATATTTGATAAATATAAACAGGAAGAAGACTTAGGACCATATGAGGTAGTTTCTTTGGTGGTGATGACTTTCAAAATTTAGAATCAAGGAGAATTAGCTAAAGAGTTCTTAGTGGTGAGGAAATGGGATTCATCTTTTATTGTTTCCCAGCTGACCCTCTGATATTGAACAATGTCTTCAGCCAATGTTTTTTCTTATAGGTCTGCTGAAAGCAAAATAAATAATACTGTCATGTTTAATCTGACTTCATTAGATCAGTAAAGCAAAGTCAAAGAGGGTGGCAAGCCACGAGGGGTGGGGAGATGGGGGAGGTATTGAGAACGCACTCATCAGTGTGTGCCCTGCAAGTCCTGGCTAGCTCCTACTCAGCCCCACAGGTTGGCAAAGGAGGTTTAGAGTCTTGGGTGCTGTTCTCCAGGTAACTCATGCACTTCTCCCTCCATGTAGGATAAGTAACCTTCTGGAATCTTCATGAGGCAAAATGCTAGGTGAGAGTATGGCTAGTGAAAATTCTGCCCAGTAGACACTCCAGGAAATGTTTATGTTTCATTCGAAAGTTTCCATGCTGTCCACTCCCCCACCCCCCTTCTCCTGGGTATTGTTTTAGAGCCCCCTGTCTCCATGCATTCTATTCTTGCTGTCTGCCTCTCTCTCCCAGACCCTTATCTTTCTTTACCCTCTGTCTGCTTCAGACACATTTGTACCTGCAGCTGCTGCATGCCCCCCCCCCCCCAGGGCAAGCGAGGAATGCTACTGTGGAATGTGAGAGTTCAAATTGTGCCCTTTGATTGTTGATGGTGAAGAGGAAGGGAGCCAGGTGTCAGGACCTTTGTACCTACATGGTGCCCAGGGCCTCTGCTTGGCCACAATGATTAGCAGTTTCTTGGCAGGTCCCTGGCTTGGGGATAAAGAAGATACAGTGTCCACAAAACATGTCACTCCCCTGAGGCACGACATAGTTTCTTTCTGAAAAGGAGCAGCTGTTGAGCCTGCATTTATCTCATGGCATACACATGGCTCATAGCATACTCTGGAGGGCTGTTTTGACAGTGGCACAGCATGGTGCCTAAGAGAACAAGTATCCTAGATCCCTTAGAGATCTTTCCCACCTTCAAGGGTGATTCTTTCTCACACACAACAGTGGAGAGCAGACCCCGGTACGATGAAAATGAGGGTGAAAGCCATGGATTTCTATTCTTGAAGGAGCAGTGCACTTGGGATTCCTCTTAGGTCTGCCCAGAGACTGCTCTCTCAGACCTACTATTTATTGGTTTGGCTGCTGGAGGCTATTGCTCCTAATTGCCCTCTAGCGGTCATTCATCAACATTGCAGTCACACAATGCTAAGCACTGCAAGGCCTCCCGTGTCTTTAGGAAAGCCTCTGCTGCAGCCACAGGGTGCTTTGGTGTCTTAGTGTCTGGGCTGCCACAATGCGCCAAGACGCAAATAAACTTCCGGGAGCAAGCAGTTGGCGGCAGATGAGAGCTTGTCTAAATAGTTTAGATCTTGGTGACTGAAAGCTTCTTGTCTGTGGTCAGTCTCCTCTCTTCCCTCTCCTCATCACCTAGTACATGTCACCGTAGCCTTGCTTGCTTGTTCAGGGTGTGAGGGGAACTAACTAACCAAGCTCTTAGCACAGCTTGGACCCCAACATCTCTGTGCTGAAATTGGTCTCTCTGCTCACAGGTAGTGGTTTTATGGGCTCGCTATGCTCTGCCTGGGCGCACAGGCTTGCTGCTCCCCTTTCACGGAGCTCTGTCTGACCCTTGGGTGTTCGTCAAGCATTTCCTACCCCAGTCTCTTTCGCTCTTTCTCCAAGCTGGCTCTGAATTATAGGTGTAAATGTGTTACCTCCACCTCTCCTCACCCCTCCCCAGCCCGAAGTGACCCCCCACACCCCTTCTCAAGGCCCCACTCTCTGGTATTTCTGTGAGTGCCAATAGTCTCATCTCATCTAGCCTGCCCTATTGCGTTTCTGTAGACTGCAAATGAGCTACTCTTAGCTGTATCGTGTTAGAATAAATGAAAAGGGTTCAGTTAGCATTCATGGACTGACATGAGTGGCTTCTAATAATCGGTGCTCACTGCTCATTACCTGTTGGGCACTGGGCCAAGTGCTGTGGGAACTCCTTCCTGTACTGCCTTGCAACAGCCTTGAAGATGCCTGCAGTTTTACAAGTGAAGGAATTCCTAGTATCAGCAGGTGTGTCCCTCCCTTCGTCCTTCTCTCCCTCCCTCCCTCTCCCAGTGCTCAAGCACCTTGTGTGTGTGTGTGTGTGTGTGTGTGTGTGTGTGTGTGTGTGTGTGTGTGGGTGTGGGTGTCACCAAAAACCAGCTGTTTCGGATTTCTGTGAGCTGGAGCAGAAGGGTCGGAGTTTTAAATGGAAGCTCCACAGGTGTAGGGATTTGTTTGTGGAAGGCATAAGTATTCCTGAGGGCCAGGAAGAGGCTGGGTTAGCCTCTCTAGAAACTAGGACTGATCTAGCTACATGCTGTATCTGAGATCCTTCTGGCAAACTCTTCCATAATTAATTTGTTTTCCTTTTTGGTATCTCTAACATTATTTCTTTTTAGTTATAACATATTGAAGTACTAAAATACTTGAGTCAGGGCAAGAACAAATAAAACCTGGTTTTAATTGTGGTGATACAAATTCATTTAATTAAACAAATAAATATTCATGAACCCTGATGATGTGCCAGGTACAGACTCATGTTAAGACAGGAAATACATCCATATTCTATATTAGGGACAAAGGAACAGACATTCTATTTTCTTGAGACAAGACAATTCACAGAGGGCTTCAGTGAAAACATTCTGAGTACCTTTGATATGATATCTGGAACTTGAAGCAAATTTGGCAAATCCATGTCTTTCTTGGATAAAGTCAGAACAGTGGCAGAGGCATGGTATCTAAGTGATCAAAGCAAAAGCAAGTTAGAAAGTCCTTGGTGTGGAGAAGCAGGCCCCAGCTGTTTTGAGGCCAGGCCTGGGGACTTGTACTCCCTCCTGCTCCAGTTCTGCAGCTCTGCATAGCTGGGGCCCGTGCGGGCTCAGGCCATGGGGGCTCAGGCCATGCGGGCTCAGGCCATGGGGGCTCAGGCCATGCGGGCTCAGGCCATGGGGGCTCAGGCCATGGGGGCTCAGGCCATGCGGGCTCAGGCCATGGGGGCTCAGGCCATGGGGGCTCAGGCCATGCGGGCTCAGGCCATGGGGGCTCAGGCCATGGGGGCTCAGGCCATGGGGCTCAGGCCATGGGGGCTCAGGCCATGCGGGCTCAGGCCATGGAGCACTCCCACATACACTCTTAGGCCACTTTGGCTTCTCTCTTCCTTTTTTTTTTTTTTAACTAACCAATTGCAGTCCTGGATGAGATACAAACAAATCAGGGGGAAAGATTGCCCCTGGAAGCCAAAGTGCACAGAATGAACTGTACCTTAGATTTCTTCTTCAAAGTGTCTACATAGATGTGAAGTCTTAACAATAACCAAGAACCCATCCTTTGGTGCCTGGCTGGGTTTTCTGGACTTTACATCCCTGCACACTTCAACAACTTACCTCTTTCTTCCCACAGAATATCTTTCACTGGAACATTCTTCCCAGTTACAAGGTGAAATGGAGATGTGACAGGGCCACACCGGTTGTCTCCACAGGATTACCTATTGTCCCATTTAGTTGAAGTGTTAGGGGTGGAGGCCTTGGTGTGAGGATGGTAAGACACTGGGCATGCCCCTGCCATCCAAGGGATGGAAACAGAGAATGCTGAGCCTCTGCCAAGAACACCTCTCCTCTTTAGTGAGAAGGGATTTCATTGTTCATTGTTCATGTGAAAGGAGTGTGGTGTTCATGAAGTATTTATGGTTTCATTTCTCATGCCACTTCCCTGGGTCCTAAGAAGCGGGGGAGGTGGTCTGATATGAATTCCTCCACAGGCTGTCTTGAATTTATTATTCCAGAAGTGACCAGGACAAACAAGAAGGCAAAGTCGGTCCTGCTTCAGCACACAATAATCTCTCATTAACAGGACCTCTGTGTCCTGAGCTGCTTTGGACAGTGGGTGTGATTTCAGCACACTGCAGCCAAGTTGAGGGACTGCTCCTTAGTGGCTTTGTACAGACCTCCCCTCTCTACCACTTCCTGGGGGGGGGTCTTACAGGTCTCACTTCTATCCCTATAGCTGTGTTTCCACAGCTTGTTTGAAGCTGGGAATATCCCGAGACGTATTTCACTAAACATTCCTTTACCTTCTCTAGACCATTCTATTAGATCTGCTTGTCCAAGTGCATGTAATACTTTGAGTGCTTTAAATTATCCCCTAAGGGCTTAGGAAAGTTACTGTTAAACCAACATTCTGGGACCTGAAACTCGGGACAAATGAAGAGTTTCTGTTCTTATAAACGGCTAGACATCAATTGTCCTCTTTCTGTTTCCAATAAGTCATGTCCCTGCCCTGTCCTTTGAGAGCTGAGGGCACTTCACAGGTCTGGTCCAATCACAGTTTGGTGAGGGAAGTAGGTTCATTTCTCTAAGCAGAGTTTGAGATTACTGCCTGGGTCTTAGAGGATAGAATGAGAAGAATTTCACTTACTACCATATGGAACTTCTCATCACTAGCCTAAATGTGGTGGGGTGGGGGAGATAGCATCCTGGCCATTGCCGATAGACAACCCAGTCTTAACTCTGAAAGAACAGATGCCATGACTGTCTAGCTGGGTGCTAAGCCTGCCTCTCTCAAGCCCGGCTCTGTCCTCCACTCCCCACCTTTCACCAAAAGGCTTGTAGGCACAGGGGGATTGGAGGCAAGATGAACATGTATTGTGTGCTCCCCTGGGCTCAGGGGCACAGCTGGTGGGCAGCGAGGACTATGGGATAGTGGGGGCCAGCTTATTAGACGCCAAGCACTAGCAATTGAAAATTTCCAGATTTTAGGAAAGCCAGCATATTTGCCCCCCACCCAGGCTCACACATCTGAGGCAACACTGACTCAGGTTGAGGGCAGGATGTCACCTTTGGTCAGTTCTCCCATTCCCTGCTGACTCCATGTGACCAGCCTTACCAGTGTGGCATCCATCTAACTGTCATCAGCAAGTGAACTTAGGACATAAGCACAGTTTAAAAAGATGTTAAGTTGTCATGACTCACGACGATTCTTGAGGTGTTGTCAACTCTTAATAAGTATATCACTTTGTTGCTTCCGAAGCAGACCTTTGACTTTATTGAGCCTCTGATTGCTCATGCCAGACACACACACACACACACACACACACACACACACACACACACACCCCTGAACAATTAGCACTCAAATGTTTAGTTTGAAAATACACAATCCCATCTATCAGCTTGTGGAAAATTGTTTTAAAGTACAGACAAAGTAAAAATGTAGTAGGGATGCCCCTCATGGAGTCATCTGTTTACAGACGTAGGAGTGCATGACCCACAGGCAAGGAAACTCTTGGAAAGTGTGCTTTTTCTAGCAACCTCTTCCAGTTTATGATAAGTCTATGAAACTGCCTCTGGGCCTTCCTTGCTTAACCCAATTCTTTACTTCCCTCCCTCCATCGTCTCACAACCTACCTCCCCCCCTCCAGAGTAGTGATGAGGGATGATTTAATCACTAAAGGGGAGGGGGAGGGTAATGAGGAGCATAATTACTTTAAGTGGAAACTGAAATGCCTCCTACATACAAATTATCAATTTTCAAAAACAGAAGTGTGTTCTTTATTGGCTTTGGGGGGGGGGTGAAACTGGAGAAAGCCCCAAGTAAAAAACAGCAGCTACTACTCTATAAAAACGAGTTGTCATGGTTCTGGACTTTTGATAGTTAGCATTTGAAGACTGGAAACTAAAGCAGGGGAGGGGAAGATATTATAGGATTTTGAGCAATATTACCTAGTGTTGAATATTGTAGACAGAAAGGAAGGCTATGCAGGCCTCATCTCCTCTGGCAAGGCCTTCACGAAGCATAACCATTGTCTGAGAACTCTAGGGCATTTCTAATTTGTGTAAGCTTGACTGGGGTTTCTCCACTGATCGCACACACCTCTCCCCCTTGGGAAGACACCCCTTGAGATCTTGCTCAAACCCTTTGTCCTCAGAAGCTGGGGGATTACCTTCCAGGGACACTGAGTACCAGGGGCTTGTTCACCAGGCTGGCCTCACTAAGCCAAGGAACTTTTTCAAATTTTGGAACAAAAGCCTAAGGAGAAAGGGAAAGAGATAATTTTTCAGAGTTTATCACACTTATAAAAAATGAAAATAATTGTTAAAGGAGGTCACAGGGCTGGAGAGATGGCCCAGTGTTAAAAGCCTTTCTTTGAGAAAACCCAGTTTCAGTTGATAACACACACCTATCAGCTCACAGCTGCATGTAACTATAGTTGTAGAGGATTTAGCACCCTCTCGTATGGCCTCTGCATTTCAGGAGCACATACTTATACACAGACACGTGTGTCAATAAAATTAAAACTAGAATAATATAACAGTTAAACACTTGACTAGTGCTGGCACTATGATAACCCACGTGAACTATTAGCAATCAGATAGCAATCACCTTTACAGAATTTTTTACACCTGAGTCTGTAAGCCATCCCATAAAGTGGCCAAGAATAAATATGTGCCTTTTATGGCTTACAAATGAAGACTTCAAAGTGAAGACAGTGTGAATTCCTCTAAGTGGCACTGTTAACAAGTGGGTTCGTGCTTCCTGACTCTTATGTCCACTATATCTGTATCTTACATATTTTCAGTTCTTTGTACTTACATCTATTGATAAATTCTGTAATATTTCCATGAGCTCAGCTGAAAATCAGCCATCTCTTGTCTCAATCCTGTAGTCATGCTTTCCGCCCCAAGGGCCTCTACCCTCACTCTTTCTGGGTTCTGGGAAACAATTGAGTTTTAGAACCATCCACATTTGGACATTTTATCTAGTTGCAATCAGTATATAGCTGCCTGACTTTGGACAATATAAACCTAGGATCACATTGTCTCTGTGGAGGTCATTGCCCAGAAAGCTCCATGAGATCTGGAGGGTTTGTTGTTTGTTTCCTCTGTGTAGTTAATGCTGTACTATGAGCGCTAGAAGCCTGTGTTGGCACTGTAATCTGTAGGAAGGCTGGGACGCGTTAAGTCCCTTAGCTGAGGACTTGACAATATAACACAAACTCAACATCCGCAGCTGTTACCCCTCTTCCACCAGCCCAGAATCTGTTCCTGCCTTCTCCCTCTGAACCCCTGAAGGAGCTTCCCAGGTGCAGAGCCCTTCTCTGGGAGAGGAGCAGCCAGTAGAGGGCAGCAGCGACCTGTCGGTGTGGCGTTTCCGTGAGGGACGCTTTGGCGGTGGAGTGGTGCCGACCCGGAAGTGCTCCTTCACAGTAGTACACTTCAACCCCGCGCCCCGGATGTAGAAATCGCTGGGCGGCTGCCCTGCTCAGTCGTGCACCTCTGGAGCTCGGTGTAGGTGGGTTCCGGCATCCTTCCTGTTGGGCCAGTCCCGCAGAGCTGAGGCTTGGGGGGGAGAGGGGCAGCGGCGGGCGGGGCAGGTGGGGTGAGTGGCCGCACAAGACCCGACCCTTCCCCGTCTGGGGACGCGGACCTTTCAAATCCAGAAGTCCCCGTGCGTGAGGGTACACGCCGGGGTGTCTGGCTTTTGAAGCAAAGTCTATGCTGGCCTCCATGGAAGGTCGGCGAGAAGTTCCTCCCTCCCCTTAAATTTCCTGAATAATCTTCGTGTTTCTGACTCTGAGTTTTGCCTTCTGAAAAATGAAATGGCTATCCATCCCGCACTGGAGTTTTGCTGTTTCAGTTAATTAGAATGATGTCACTGTAGAGGGTGGTAAGCTTAGCTAATGAACAAAGGAGGTTTGAATTCTTGCTTTGGGCTGAAACGGTAGATATTATGCTTCTGTGTTGTGCAGAGTATTGTCATGAGATCTATAACTTAATTCGATGCCTTTGGGAACCTGGTAACAGCTATGGATTGTGTCCCTATAAATTTGCATAAGTTCAAATACAATCAAAGCAAAAATAGTACATACTTTAGGTGTATGAACGCCAAAGTTAAATAAAACTGGCTTAGAGGAAGATAATGAGAAGCACAAACGTTGATATTAGTTTTTGTTGGAGTTCTGGCTCCACTGTTACAGTGGGACATAAATACTCAACCAGTGTGAAACTCAGATGTCTTACTAGGCAAAGTGGTACAGGTACTAACTTGTAACGTCCTGACAGTTAAATAAGGTACATAAGACATTTAGCATTCTAAGTCAGTGATGTCATGCAGATATTAATTGTTAATATTGTATTTATTTTAAATGCCTCAAATTATGTCACTATACACAGTTGATTTAGGCTTTCCTTAAACTGAGTTGTTTGATTGTAGCATAGTCCTACTGTGACCTTTTGAAGCTTTCATACATTCACAGATCTCTCTTTTTCTAGGAATTTAGCTGTGTTGGCCTGCCTCACAGAACAAACTCATCTGCTACAGGCCTAGCCTGGTTTGCATACACAGTCTTTGTAAACAAGGAAAGGTCTGGAGGGTGTCAGCATGGTATTTCCATAGAGGTCCTAATTTGCAACTGTGTCGTCGAGGAGGAGACTCCTGTGGACTTCTCTGAGGGAAGTTGAACCAGTCCGGGTTTGAGGGAAGGATGAGATAATGTGTGCTCAACATGTAGCAGAAGTCAACACCACAGAAGTCAAGTGGCAGAAGGTTTTATATGAGCGGCAGCCCTTCCCCGACAATTATGTCGACCAAAGATTCCTGGAAGAACTCCGGAAAAACATCTACGCCCGGAAATACCAATACTGGGCTGTGGTGTTTGAGTCCAGTGTGGTGGTTCAGCAGCTGTGCAGTGTCTGTGTTTTTGTAGTGATCTGGTGGTACATGGATGAGGGTCTTCTGGCCCCCCAGTGGCTTTTTGGGACTGGACTGGCATCTTCATTGATTGGATATGTTTTATTTGATCTCATCGATGGAGGTGATGGACGGAAGAAGAGTGGGCGGACCCGGTGGGCTGACCTGAAGAGTACTCTGGTCTTCATTACTTTCACTTACGGTTTTTCACCAGTGCTAAAGACCCTGACAGAGTCTGTCAGCACTGACACCATCTATGCCATGTCAGTTTTTATGTTGTTAGGCCATCTTATCTTCTTTGATTATGGTGCCAATGCCGCGATTGTGTCCAGCACACTCTCCTTGAACATGGCCATCTTTGCTTCTGTTTGCCTGGCCTCACGCCTCCCCCGGTCATTGCATGCTTTCATTATGGTGACTTTTGCAATCCAGATTTTTGCACTGTGGCCCATGTTACAGAAGAAACTGAAGGCATATACCCCACGAAGCTATGTAGGGGTCACTTTGCTTTTTGCATTTTCAGCTTTTGGGGGTCTTTTATCCATCAGTGGTGTGGGAGCCATACTCTTTGCCCTTCTGCTGATTTCCATTTCGTGTCTCTGCCCTTACTACCTCATTCGTCTGCAGCTTTTTAAGGAAAATATTCATGGGCCTTGGGATGAAGCTGAAATTAAAGAAGACTTGTCTAGGTTCCTTAGCTAAGCTAGGGACCTTCATTTCATTATTACAACAAGCTGAAAGACTTAGACCCTGACCAGTATAACACTTAAAGGCAGAGTTCCTCTCTTGAAGCTGTGGGCTGATCTGTGTGGTAGAACAGAGAGAAGAAGGAAGCATTTAACCTAGGGCTCAGGGGAAGAGTTTTGACCTTCAGTTATTTTGTGACTGAAAAATCTTTCTGGTGCTGTCATGAATTATTGTCCCTCTTTATTCCTTGTAACAAATGATATAATGTGAGTTATGCTTATTAAAAAAGTAACACCAATTGAATTGTCTCATATTTAAAAAATACCCTTATTTATATGAAAGAGAGAAAGAGAAAGAAAGAATGTGTGTGTGTGTGTTTTGGTTCTGTTTTCAGTATGGATGTCCTAGGCATTCAATCTAGGCCTTGGCAACAAATGCCTTTACCAGCTGAGCTACCACACTGGCCCTGTCTCATGATTTTTTTTTTTTTTTCTGACAAAAGTGGTCTGAAAAATAGTAGGTATGTGTACTAAGTTATTTCTGTGTACTGATGAACACCTCTATATATTTAGAGCCCAAATTTGAGAATTCAGGGTAGTGGTACCCAGCTTGTTGTCCAATACTACAGAACCATTTTAGTTCTTAGTGGACCATACATCTAGCCAATAAAGATGTATCATAGAAGCAAAATTTTAGAGACATTGAAAGACTGTAGAGAAGTGAGTTCATCTGAAGCAATTAGGCAAAAAGAGGTGACATTTACTCATAGAGGATATGTGGTGAAAGCCCTTGAGAGCCAGATTAAGTAATGTTAGCCAGTACCAAAAACTATGGAACTAGCAACTGTCCAGTAAGGGCAGCTACTATTGCTCCAAAAACTATTGTTTCTGCTCAGTTTGGGCTCCATGCCTGTGGAATTTTCAAGAAAGTAAATATTATAGTAGCTGTGAATCTGATTTGAACATGAAATTGCTTTGTAAGATATCTCAAATTTAATCCAGGTTGCAAGAACATTTGTAGGCAAAACATAACTACGTTTGATGTCACATCCTCTAGCCGAGGCACAATGATGGGAACGGGATAGGGATTTAGAGTTACAGAGATCTGGGGGAGGAAAGAAAGTGGGAGCATGAGTAATGGTGTATGTGGGCTCTGTAGCCCATACTGAGCAATCTAGCTTGTCTAAGGATGGGGCAAATTGAAGTCTTGAGGTAGCTAATTGTTCATTTCTCACTTTGCATCTTTAAGAATTGTGGCACTTAGATAAGCTGTGTGTGAAGAATGCCTAAGGAGTCACAGTATTAGTGCTAAATATCTCAAATGCAAAATTCAGAAACTGAAAATGTTCCCAAATCTGAAAGGCTTTGAACATCAATGTTATGCCCTGGGAAAAGCCCACAATCTATACATTATGCATTGAACATGAAAGCTTCATGTATAAAATTATTTGAGAAATATAAAATTGCCTTCATACTGTGTATAAGGTGTATATAAAATAAGTGAATTTTGTATTTGGATGGGTTCCACTCTCAAGCTATCATTTCAGAATCTGAGGAAAGAAAAGTCCAAAAATTCTCTGATCTTAAGTGGATAAGGGACACTGGGTGTGTCATAATGATTGGAAGGTAGGAAAATTTGAAGAGGTCAATGGCACAAAATGAATCAGGTACTTCCCTGAGTGGTTGCTTCCAGCCGCGAAGGTACATGTTTGTACTGTCCTCTGGTTATTGTAAGTCATTTCAAATTAGAACTAGCAAGAGAGTAGTGTACTGTGAAGTAATGCTTTTTATTTTTCTGATTTTTTCATAAATGTCTTGAATAGGATTTTGAATTAATATCTGCAGCTGTGATCTCATTCTTTTTCTGATGCTTATTGTCTCATTATAAAAAAGTGGGTAATTGTCCCCCAAGATCACTTATCTGGACAAAAGGATGCAGAAACTGCCCTGTGGAAACCCAAAGCATCCATCCACTGAGATGGATTGCACATTTTGTGCCTTGAAAGTGGTACAAATTTTTCTATAGTCCACATCATTGGATGGCAGATGGATATAGCAAAAAAAAAAAAAAAAAAAAAAAAAAAAAATTAAAAAGATCTGTGTCTCTTTTTCATGTTTTAATACCTTGACTTATTTGAATAGGTTTCCAGTTGCCAACCTTAGAAACTCATGACAGTGAACAGAATGCTTCAAAAGACTGAACCACTTTTAAGAATGGTCGGGTGAATGAATGTGACTGCTGTTTCCAGCTCTTTGTGTTGTGTGTGTGTGTATGTGTTTTATTTGGAGTCATCCAGTACTCAAATGTTACTCATATTTGTGGTCCTAGGTCAGTGTGGAGGTGATGGGGGATGGGGAGTTTTGGGATGCACTTGAATTTGAGGGGGAAGCTGTAACAGAAACTGCTTGGGTACTAATGGGAGAAGGGTACCTGTGGAGGTTTGAATGTAATTGGTCCTCATAATCTCACAGGGAGTGGCACTATTAGGAAGTATGGCTTTGCTGGAGTGGATATGACCTTGTTGGAGGAACTGTGTCATAGTTGGGACAGGTTTTGGGGTTTCCTATGCCCAGTGTCCCGGCCAACTTCCTGTTGCCTACAAGATGTGGGATTCTCAGCTACTTCTCCAGCCCCATGTCTGCCTGCATGCTGCTGTGCTCCCTGCCATGATGATAATGGACTGAACCTCTGAAACTGTAAGCTGCCATGTCAATAAAATGTTTTCCTTTATAAGAGTTGCCATGGTCATGGCGTCTCTTCACAGCACTAGAAACTCCAACTAAGACAGTACCATGAGCAGAATCCAGAGTGGGTAGCACTATGTGTTCCAAAGGGACCTAATGAATCCTGGTGGCGGGTAGAAGCACACGACAAAATGGATTATAATTGACAGAGAGCAGATGACTTTGTATTACAGTATCTTGTAGTCAGTGGCAAACTCAGGGACTTTCAAAAAGATATATGCTAAGATACTGTATGGAAGTATTAGGAAACGTTATATATAAGTGAAGTCTAAAAACAAGCAGTAGTTTTTGAGGCTTAACTAGTGTGGCTGAGCATGGAGAGTGCTTGTGGCAATACTGGAGAAAGGTGAGGGTCTAGATGGAGAGTATGGCAACAGGCATGGGAATAAGTGTATTTAGTGTTTTTTAAGGAATTTGTTAACTTCACATAGAGAGAAAGAGGAAGAGGAGGTAAGAAGACAGGGTAAGTGCAAATACTCTAGCAGGAGTAGACTTGTGTGTCTGTTAACTCTGCCACGAACTAACCAGGGCACGGAGCAGGATATAACAATGGGAGAAGTTACATTTGGGGTTCTTGAGATGATATATCCAGGCAGAGGATGAGCTCCATATGCTGCACCCAGAGCATACTGGCTCAAAATTCTAAGCATAGTTTACATGGATACCGAGACAAATAGAACAGCATGCTTTTGGGTTTGGAATTTTTTTCTCACTCTAGTTGCCCCACAAGTGGGCAATCATGGAATTCAAAACAGGTGACAGAATGACAAACTGAATAACCCAAATGATAGAAATCAAAGGGACAGGAGGGACCCTTTTGCAAAATGGATTAGACACTAGAATTCAGCCCAGGAGGAAGACTCAAAGGGAACGTGACCAAGGCCTATAACATTATTCAGAGTAGGACTATGTAGTTCACTAGTAGAGAAATTCCAAGCATTCCTCAAACTTGAAAAAAAAAAATCAGAGAGTAAAAGCAACTATCAGTTTGTTCACTAGATCATGACTTAGAGTAAACACTGAAGTTGCATCAGTGTGTGTTTGTGCCAAATGAAAATATATTTTTACCAAATTTCTGCATTTTCTCTAAGAAAAATCTCACAGGCCAGCAATATAAATGAACCCTAAAAAGGTTTAGGGAGAATGAAACAAAACATCATGCTTTGTTTTGTTTTTAACCCTTAGAACACCTCAGCCCTTAGCTGTTGCTATTAGGATGATAAGACTAGCCTGTGGCACGCTCATTGGCTGGTGGCTGATGGGAATTCAAGCCTAGGAAATGATTCATTTGACTTAGTATGGCAGTTGCTAGGAACACAGTTCATCCCTTAAATCCAGTACTCTAGCTAGCCTCAGCTTAAACCACACTAAAAGGGTTGGGACAGTATATTAATGATGGAGATTTCTAAAGTAAATAGTGTTTCAGGGAGGCGCAACAGGGGAAGGAGTTCAGTAGTATTGTAATTTTATCTCAACCTGTCAAATACTTGTTCGTATAAAAAGCCACAGGCTCTTCTACCATTTCCCTCCTCTCTCCGATCACCACTTCTTGTCATTTGGTCTAAGTACAAGGAAAGCTAGAGGGGGTGGTGCATGTGGGAGCAGGGAGGGGAGGAGGGGGAGGCTCAAAAGGAGCTGGTATAGTTTGGATCTTATCTGTCAGTCAAAGGCTCATGTGCTAAGTGTGTGATCCTACTGGGAGGTGCTAGACCCTTCAGGGACTGGAGGCAGGGAGGGAGGTGGAGTCTTTCTAAGAGTATGCCTTGCTCAGGATGTTGGACCTGACCCTCTCTGCATCTCAGTGACTCAAGATAAGCAGCTTTGCTTCTCCATGGGCTCCTGCCATGGTATGCTTCTACACCACAGGCACAAGAGCCAATCAGCCATGGGGCTGCACCCTCTGAAACTGAGTCAAGACAATTCCTTTCTCTTTCAGCTTGCTCATGGAAGGGATTCCCCCCTCTGCCCTCCAGCCATGGAAGACAGGTGTCAGGCATTGAAATTGGGGTGGAGAGGATCAAAGAGGAGTAGAACTTCAGGGGAGGCCAAAAACCAAACCAAAACAAACAAACTACTAATTTTGTGCTGTGCTGTAGCTGACTTATGCCAAGCAGGGAGCTAGAAGACATATGTATGTGTGCAGCAACATGATGGCTCCCGGTGTTAAGCACATTTGTATGCTTTGCTGTACCGGCACCTAAGTACTGTGAATTTCTCAGAAAATTTTTGGGCAGCTCTGTGCTTAAACATTCATGCTGAGCATACATGAGGATGAACACAAGGCTATCATTTATATCTCCCAAGCCAAAAAAAAAAAGCCCAAGGACAAGAAATAAAAAAGTCAGCAGAGGGCATCAGTTACACAATTATGTAGTATTTCAAATCTTGGAATTGCATGAAGCAAGCCTGGGGCACAGTGCCCTCTTGTGGAAGTTACAAGTTGTTCCTTTTTGCAGTAGCGTTTGCGGATTGGAATTCGTACTGACTTGTGAATCATGAAATAAGGTCTGAGGTCTTCATAAACTCAGGAAGCAAATAGTAAACGGGAGCTTGA